TGTACATGCACATGTAGTAGAGGTTATGCTGTACATGTACATGTATATGTGCATTTGTACTTACATGTAGTTATTTTTATTTATTTTATTTTTTGTAGTTTGTGTTCACTACCATTGCTGTTGCTCTTCCCATTCCAGCTGGTGTATTCTTTCCCGTATTTATTATCGGTATACCTTTACTTGTACATGTACATGTACATGTACATGTATAAATGTACATGTACTTATCATTTCATTTATTCATCCATCTACATCTACATTTGTGGTATATTAAATCTATATATACATGTACATGTACATGTATATATAGATTTAATGTACATGTATTTTATCACTGCCCTCCCATTTTATCCTCTTTTACAAATACACATGTACATGTACATACACACAAGCAGCTATCAATCCTCTACATTTACTTTCTAATAATTATTGTATTTCCTCCCTCCCTCTCTCTCTTTTAAGGTGCTGCATTTGGTCGTGTGGTTGGGGAGCTCATGGACTTTGCTTTTGTGAATGGGATCAATGGTCGGCTCATCAGTCCAGGAGGATATGCTGTGGTGGGTGCTGCAGCAATGGCGGGAGGCGTCACACACACAATATCAACATCAGTCATAGTCTTTGAACTAACTGGACAGATAACACACATACTCCCTGTCATGGTGAGTCTTCATTAGCAGCACAAGGACTACATGTGTATATATGGATCACTCTGTATATGTACATGTACATGTACATGCAATCCACATTGTATTAATATTGTATTGAAAAACTCAAACTAAATATGACATAATGTACATGTGTATAAGTTAAATGTAAATGTACATGTACATGTACATGTGTATAAGTTGATGCTTGACTCAGTGTTTCATAGAGAGGGGGGGGTGACACTGGAATTTCCCCTCCACATTAGGTTCCCCCCCTCCCCCACAAAAAATTTCTGTATGAAAGCCTGCTTAATGAAGCAATTAAAATAATTACAAATATACATTGTACATGTATGCAGAAGCCAGCACAGTTTAGAGTCCCCCCCCCACAAAGGAAATTTCTGTATGAAAACCTGCTTGTAGTTAGTACATATGTACACTTAGCAGTGCTGATTCACATGTACTATTTTTTTCATTGTAGATTGCTGTTTTAATATCAGTTGCTGTAGCTTCATTGATCCAACCATCATTCTATGACAGTATTATATTACTGAAAGAGCTACCATTCCTCCCTGACATCAAACTACACAAGTAAGCAAGGAGAATTGGAATTATACTACATGTACATGTACATGTATGTGTATGTATGTGTCCATTTGTTAGTTTTTAACTCAGACACACATGCATGTACATGTACATGTACATTTATACTGTATATGTATTATTATTATTATTATTATTATTATTATTATAAAATTTCAGTCAAAAAATGAGAGAAAGAGACAAAAGAGTTGAGGCAGAATAAAAATAAAATAAAATAAAATAATTTAAGTCATACAATGTTTAATGTTCGCAATAGATAAAATTAAGTTAGGGGTAGGTGAAGAATTGTTTATGTAGCTGCATACCCGATGAATAGCGGATTTATATTATTATTATTATTATTATTATTATTATTATTATTATTAAGAAATTATTTGCTATTTTATCTAATGCAGGTATTATGATTTATATGCACGTGACATTATGAGAAAGAATGTACTGTATATTACGTATCAATCAACATATCGAGACATTCGTCAGCTACTGAGGACGTCTAAACAATACTCATTCCCTCTTGTCGACAGTGAAGGTACATGTACATGTATAAACCTTACATGCACATGTTCATTTTTATCGTAGAGTCTCGTATATTGATTGGCTCCGTCTCGCGTAATAATCTTCACAAACTTGTCGATGCCCAGTTGGAGGGTGTTTATGAACATGCCAAAGAAATAAAGCAAAGAGAAAGGTAGTAGCGATTTAGCAGTTTGAGTGTGATTTATATTATACTGCGTGTTTTATTTGTAACAGAGAAAATGAAGAGGATCCTCTTCGTGCTAGTCCTGAGCGACCTTCATCCCCAAGACTCTCTGTTGGTGAGAGAGAGAGAGAGAGAGAGAGGGAGAGAGGGAGAGAGAGAGGGAGAGAGAGAGAGAGAAGTATAAGAGTATAATAATTATTATTGATTTTCTTTATTTACATGTACATGTACATGTAGTTGTGCAGTCCATGTCAGAAGGTTTCAATAGAATATTTAAGTTTGGCGACGAGGCAGATGGTGATGATAATACTAATGAAGTGAGTTGATCCTTGTCTTTTTATCTACATGTCAGTATGTGTACCTTTTTATTATGG